TTGAGTGAAACCATACCTTCACTTTGGAGTTCAATTGCCACAGTATTGGCAGAAACTTGTGGGGCTTGATCAAGGGGTGTATTGCAACTAGTCTTCTGCATTTGCATGAACTCCATAAACCTTTTGAAATCATTCTGAGTGAAATATGACCCTTGATCCTCATTAGATAGTTGTAATGAGGATGCTCCTTGGACCTGATTTACTGAGCTTTGGTTTCTTGGCCTTGGCTTCCAACCAGGAGGATATCCATGTTTTTTATAACACTTGTCTTGAGTATGGACAGTATAGCCACAATAGGTGCACACAGGCTTCTTGTTTAATGATTGTTGCTTCTTGTAGCCTTGCTGGAAGCCTCCATCTGCCTTGGTAAAGAAAACAGTCCCTGTGTTCCCTGCAACACTACTGTTTTCTCCTGCCTGATGTAGCTGATTTCAAAAGCTAACTCCAGCCATCTGAAATTGCCTCTCTTGTTGGGAAATCATAGAGTAGGCTTCATTAGCATCAGGTAAGGGTCTCATTATCATGATCTCGTTTCTGGCAGCAGTATACCTTTCATGTAAACCAATCAAGAAAATGGACAACTTGTCCTTTTCTGCTTGTTCTGTTATCTCATCTAGCTTCTTTCCACATTCACATTTCTCAGCACAGGTGCAACTCTTAGGTGGTCTGAGTATAGACAACTCATCCCATAGTAACTTTTGCTTTGTGAAATACTCATTCAAGGAATCATCACCTTGCTTTGTCTGGTAGATCTCACACAAAATCTCTGAGATCCTAAACAAGTCCTGTTGGCTGAATCTTCTCTTTAGATCATCCCATATCCCATATGTTGTATCTATCCATAGAACACTACGCCCAATTGTTGGGGATAAAGTCCGGATAATCCAGGTGCACACAATGTTGTTGCACCTTTCCCAATTGTAATACCTTTCCAAATTGTCTTGAGAGGGCTTTTTGATGGTTCCATTGACAAAGGCTACCTTGTTCTTACAAGATAACGCCATGGTCATAGCCCTAGACCATGTGCGGTAGTTTGATCCATCCAAAGGGATGGAAACGAGGTCCAAAGCTGGATTCTCGTTGATGTGTGGATAATAGGGATTGGACTGTGAGTTGGGATCATAGGTTACCTCTGGCAGATTTGATCCGTTCGTTGGTGTTGCTGAGGGAGTTGCTTGTCCGGCCATATTCCTTGCTGGTCCAGCTGCAATCCCTGTATGATTTGCTCCTGAAGTACTTGTCGTATGATTGACATTAACTGGGGGCCAAGCCTCCATTGTAAACGAATGGATCAAGCTCCTACCTTGAGGGCTCTGATACCATATTGCAGAAAAGGATTGAGAGAGTTTTGATAGGAAGAAAAAGGTTTATTGTTCATCTAGTGATCAAAGAGATACAAGCTCTGTTTATATACAAAACAATGGAGGGAAAAGAAGATGAAACTGCTAGGCTAAAACTGCTAGGCTAACTAACAGTAGGTTACAACTAAACATAACAGACTTGCTGAGCTCCTTTGCTTGGATGCTGACAAGTGGCAAGATTGAGACCTTTGATGAAGAATGCAATCAGCTTTCTTGATGATGATTTCCTAATATTCTCCTGCTAATGAAGTGGCTTAAAGTTGCATAGCTGATGAGTTTCTGTTGATATGCTATGTTAGTCCGCTCTACTGGTCCATTCTTCTAATCGAATCTGCTGGTCTGTTGTCTTTAGTTCATCTTATTTACTATAGCTAATTCTTTGCCAACATCCAACTAGTACATTAAACTTGATCAGCTTGAACAACCTCAACCTGAAATACAAAGAATTCTTAAGTTTTTGGCCTATACAATAGATACATAGCTTAATACAATAGCTTAAAAGTTTGGGGTATCTAAATTCCTTTTGCAATATTAACATCATCAAAATCAAAATGCAATAGTTCTTAACAATTTATTTTATTTTGGCTTCATTAATATTTGATATTATTCCATACAATATTCATAATTCTTCATTCTTAAGAGTTAAGAATTTGAGTGACGAAGTTAATTAAGTATTGTAAAAATGTTCTTAGTCATAAGAATTCTAATTTGGCATTAGAATTTTGATAAGAGTAGAACATTGTCCTACTTATGGTGAGTCTCATGCCATTGCGTATGAGATACAAATAGTGAACATATGGGTGCTTGTTAGATAACAAGCCATTAAACAATGACTGACTACAACGTACCGCATAGTGTTTACCTACGCGTCATCGAAATGTTGTATATTACAAGTATGCAATAGTCCTTTGATTAGAGACGACATTATTGTCTTGTACATATGTTGGACTACTGTTTGCCAGTATATGTCTTTTGTTCCATTATGGGGCTATAAGTATACTTGGTGGCCTAATTTAGTTTTGTATGGAGACATATGTGCGCTCAATAAATTAAAGGATCCACCGTCTTGAGGTAACAAGGTTGTTCTAATATATTCAATAATATTAAACAAAACTATATATAAAAATAAATAAATAAATAAATAAATAAAACTAAATCCTAAACCATTTAAAAAAAAAATCCTGCGTTAAAGATTTTTTTAAAAAAAATTCCACTAAACAATTTAGCTCAAAGGTAGAGGATTGATGTCATCCTCTAAGGTTGCATGTTACTCCTTTCAATCATGTGACAATCAAAATATATGGAGGATATCTCTATCAAAAATAGAGTTAATTTCAGCAATAGTCCTCCGAGTATGATGATTTTCTAAATTTTGTCCTAGACTTTTAATTTGAACAATTTAACCCCCCCGTCTATTAAATTTTTTCCAATTGAGGTCCTTCCGTCAATTGTTGGTTAAGTGAGCGTAAATTTCATTATTATTATTATTATTATTATTATTATTATTATTATTATTATTATTATTATTATTATTATTATTAAGTAAGGATTAGTTAACAAGGGCAAAGTTGGAATAATTCAAGGTAATCTAAGATTACCTAAGAAAATGGGGTAATCACATTACCTTGAAACATTACCGCCACATCAGCTTTCAGGTAATATAACATTACAAGGTAATCTCATAACTTGAATCAAATAAGGTAATATAACATTATCAGACTCAGATTACCTAGGTAATTTAAGATTTCTTGAACCAAACGCCCCCTAAAGGTAAACCATAAATACTAAAAACAAAAATGAACTTCTAAACAAAACTATATAAAAAAGAAATTAAAAAAAAAAAAAAAGAACTAAATCCTAAACCAATTTTTTTTTTTTTTAAATATTCTTGCATTAAAGATTTTTTAATTCCACTAAACAATTTAGCTCAAATGTAGAAGATCGATGTCATCTTATCTCTAAGATTGCATGCCACTCTTTTCAATTGTGTGACTAAAAGATGATTAAAAAAAGCGATTGAATCAAAGGATATAATAATGTATTATATTAAAGCAAGAAAACAATTAAGAACAAGGTCTCATCCTAGCTAGGCTTCATTATAAATTCAAGTACTCAGATTTTAGCCTCCAAACATGGAAGAAAAAATGAAAGAAATCAAATATATTGTAAAGGATATCAAGAGCATAGAAGAATCCCTTTAATCCATGAAAAAATCTTGATTCCAAGCCTTCCTGCGATATAAAGTTACCTTCTAGAGAGTGGTTGAAGTCCCTTTTGGATTGTTTCTCTCGGGTCTTGGGTTGAAAAGTGTCCCAAAAGTGTTAAAAATGCTACTTAAATAGATTTGTTGACATTCTCTGCGATACAGCCATATCGCAGGGATATCGAAATCAGTCACCGCCCAGACGACACGCTTTTGTGACGCTGTTGTCTTGCTAGACGTGTCGATATATACCTGGGTTGATATCGATGCTTTAGTCAAAATCTCTCAAAATTTTGAACATGAAAGTTGTAGAGGATCATCTTATCATTCTATGAAAACTTGAATCACCTCAATTGGGCTTCAAATGAATGAGATATAGCCAAAATGCCTTCAGTATGTTGCAAAGTCGTATCCCTAGACTTGTCGAAATCTGTCCACATTTCCCTTATTCATCTCGAATCTTTGAAAACAAATTTTTTTTTTTGGTAGTCCAAAGGTATCTCTCTGATCGATAGCCAGAAGACTAATTCCTCGTCCCTACTGTCAACACACTAAGTGGTAGGAGATTGGCCAAATGATTTGCTCCATTTGCCTTAACTTTCTATGAATACTTAACCACTTCAATTGTACTTCGTATAAGAGATATAAGACCCTACAATATTTTTAACATGTCACAAAGTGCTTGTTTTGTCAATTTTACTTAAAAATGCTTGAAAGTCAAATATTCATTAATAATGAAACATCATATTCCATCCAACAAAACAAGGTAGAAGCAAAATCATTTTAGATAATAAATTGGGTATTAGAAATAAGTGTAATTAAACACGAATCCCCATCCTCACCCTCATTATATTGGCAAATTATGCCGTGGACCCGTGTCCACCTTGCAAAATGAACACGGTTTCAAAACTGTTCATAATTATGAACATAGAGTTTTATAATTATGAATATAGAATTCAATATTATGAATATAGAGTTCAATAATTGTAAATATTAAGTTTAAAAATTATGAACATAGAATTTAGTAATTATGAATATAGGGTTCTGTAATTGTGAATATGAAGTTCAAAAATTATGAACATAAAGTTTTATAATTATGAACATAGAGTTCAGTAATTATGAACATAGAATCGTGTCCACCTTATTCTACGGCATAACAATCCCATTATATTTCAGCCAAACGCCATATATGTTAAAGATGAATGATTGGATCATAGACTTGTACAATTTGAACACGGAGTCTTTTACAAGCCATTTTGTCTAGCCGTGACCAACACAATTAAGAAGCATGTTGTAAAGCAGTTGCATCTTGACTATGAACACCCCATTTCCCTTTCAGGACTCTGCACCGTTTACTAGTCAAAACCAGCACCCTCCCAACTCATTTAATTTTCCTGCAAAAAATCAAACTTCCCATTGGCACTACCATAAATGCTAATTAAACCATCCAAGAAAAAACTAGAAGCCTCGGAGAAATTCACATACACATTAGTAATTACACTACTCCATACTGAGTACTGAGAAGATAATCTTGGGAAGCAACCTTAGCTTAGTCATGATTTTCAAGCTTGTAATATGGGTAGTTATTTCTTCACCACTGGTAGACTTTGTGGGCTCAGAGGATGTCGGATTCACCTATCATGGATTCAATTCGGCCAATCTGAGCCTCGATGGAGCGGCCGGGGTCATGCCCAATGGCATCCTGAGACTAACAAATGAGACTACGTTTCAAACAAGCCGAGCCTTGTATTCTGTGCCTGTCAATTTCAAGGGTCCAAATGGTTCATCTTTCTCTTTCTCAACAACCTTTGTGTTCGCTATTGTGCCTGGGCTCTCGGTTTTGGATGGCCATGGAATGACCTTTGCTATTTCCCCAGTAGGAGGCCTTCTGGGCGGGCTTGATGCCCCGTATCTAGGCCTATTCAATGGCTCCAACAATGGCAAATCCACCAACCACGTCGTGGCGGTGGAGCTTGACACTATGCAGACCAAAGAGTTTCGTGATATCGATGGCAACCACGTTGGAATTGACATCAACGGGATGATATCTAATGTGTCAAAATCCGCAGGGTATTATGATGATAATGATACCTTTCGTAGCTTGAGACTTGCTGGGAGCAAGGCGATCCGGGTGTGGGTAGAATATGATGGAAAAGCTAAGCAAATGAATGTTACAATGGCTCCCTTGATGGTTTCTCGCAAGCCTAAAAAGCCCATCTTGTCTTTGTCCTATGATCTTTCAACGGTTTTTCAAGAAACCATGTCTGTGGGCTTCACAGCCGCCACCGGTGCGGTTGTATCAACCCAATACGTTCTGGGTTGGAGCTTTAAAATGAACGGTGTGGCTTTAGAGCTCGATCCCTCTAAACTCCCAAAGCTCCCTAGAATCTTGCCTAAGGGGAGGCCAAAAATCTTGGTTATTGGGGTGCCGATAATTTCAACGTTTGTGGTGATCTTCTTGGGAATTGTTTATTATATTGGAAGGAAAAGGAAGTTTGCGGAGTTGCTTGAGGATTGGGAACTTGAGTTCGGACCTCATAGGTTTAAGTACAAGGATTTGTACTATGCTACCAAGGGGTTTTCAGAGAAGGAGTTATTGGGATCAGGGGGATTTGGGATGGTGTACCGAGGGGTGTTGAGGTCTTGTAATGTGGAAATCGCAGTGAAGAAGGTCTCTCATGGATCCAGGCAGGGAATGAGGGAATTCGTGGCGGAGATCGTAAGCATTGGCCGATTGCGCCATAGAAACTTAGTGCCACTTTTAGGGTATTGCAGGCGAAAAGGTGAGCTCCTGTTGGTGTACGAGTACATGCCTTATGGAAGTCTAGACAAGGTTTTGTTCGACAACCCGAAACCCATCACCCTCGGTTGGAGCCAGAGGTTTGGTGTGATCAAAGGCGTGGCGTCGGGGCTGCTCTACCTCCACGAAGAGTGGGAGAAGCTCGTGATCCACAGAGACGTTAAGGCCAGCAATGTGTTGCTAGACGGGGAACTTAATGGGAGACTAGGCGATTTTGGTCTGGCAAGACTATACGATCATGGGACCGACCCTCAGACCACTCATTTAGTCGGGACGATAGGGTATCTTGCCCCGGAGCAAACTAGGGCCGGGAAGGCCACAACGTGCACGGATGTGTATGCTTTCGGGGCATTCTTGCTTGAAGTTGTGTGCGGGAGAAGGCCTCTCGATACACAATTCGAAGAAGACAACGATCTCATCCTCGTTGATCGCGTGTTTTCGTATTGGTGTAGAGGTGAAATTGTGAAAACTGTGGATTCAAATTTGGGGGCGGATTATGTTGTAGGAGAAGTGGAGCTAGTTTTGAAGCTTGGTCTTCTTTGCTGTCAATACGAGCCAAAGTGTCGGCCCAGTATGCGGCAGGTTGTGCTCTATTTGCAGGGAGCTCTGCCTTTACCAGACTTCTCACTGCTAAGAATAATATAATTTGCAGTCTTAGCAAGTTTTCAGTCTTTAATTTTCTTCCCAAACGAATAAGCTATAAGCATTTTTCATGGTCTTTCTACTATGCCAAAATCGGTTTTCTTGGATGGTCTTGGAAGATCTGTAATAAGTTGGGTGAGAATTGAAGCTAATACTATACAGCCTGTACATGCATGTTCTATTGACTTTGTTTGTCACCGTTAGAGTTAGCAGATTATGTTAGTCATTTGCCCGCACGGGCTTAGTTGAAATCAGTAGGCCGTATTTAGGAAGAGAGGCCAAGCTTCGAATCTCGGCAGCTATAGTGTGGGGTTTATATCTAAAGTGGACAAATTCCTTATGCGGTATTTGGTCATGTCTGCTGAATCATTTAATCACCTTAATTTACACCCTCTCAAATGCACCTTAGACCATCTCCAACCCACCCAACTCCAAAACACTAAATTTTTCCACCAAATGTCACATCAGAATGAATATTTTCAGTATATTCTCAACCAAATTTTATTCATTCTCAACCCATTTACACCAAAACACCAAACTTTTACACTAAAATAATTTTATTTTTCAATTATTATTTCGAATTTAATTAGTTTAATATAATTTAATTCGAACTTACTTAGTTTAATATAAAATATAACTTGTGATGTAAATAATAATTTTTATTAACATTAATTTTTTTATAAAATTAATTATTTTAAAAAATCGAATTTAACAATATTCTTTAAAATTTAATTTATTCCACAATAATAATATAGCATACAACATCTAGTACAAACAAGTCTTTGAAATTTTAATTAATATATATTCAATATTAGTCTTGTTTCGATCGTCTCAATGAGATCTTTAAAATGATATAATTTTTATTTAATAATACAAACTTTAAATATAAGTATTTAACAAAATAAAAAAATTACATATAAAAACAAATAAAGGATATATTTGAAATTTAAAAAATAATAATAATAAGGGCAAAAGGGTCATTTTCATCTCATTTTTCATTTGCCGCGGATGAACAGTGCAGCGCCAAATATGGCGCTACACTGTTCATTAACGCCAAAATGTTTGGAGTTATAGCGGTTTGGCGTTCCAAATTGGATAGTGAACATTTTCATTTTTACTGCTTTGGCATTGAATTTTGCAGATATAGCGCCCACCTTGGAGAGGATTTAACTTTTTGAGAGAAGAGTATTAGCCATTTTATCTGGTAAAATTAATTGTTCATGATCATTTATCAATGGTTACCATGTAAAAAGATTAACTTGTAAGGATATTAATGTATTTTAATTATTATTTTTTTTTGGTTTTTATAGAATGTTATACTCCGTAATAATTATAATTGCTTATTAAAAACTGCAAATCATTCAAGTGGCTAAATAATAGTATATTAGTATAACAACAAAAATATCAATTAATTTCAATTTACTTACAACACAATTTTAAAATAAAATACAAAATCCTATAAGTTGAGCAATAGTATGTGACTGAACAACTCAAGATTTAAGTCATTTAACTCTTTCAGTGCACTTAGGTAGGGATTCTAAGGATTTAAGATTAATTTAGCATAAACGGAAATCTAAGGTATAAAACAAAACCAAAAAAAAAATATGCAATTATGAAATTTGATGTGGTGGTAGCAGTATTGTATATTGAAGTGAGTTTGAGGTTTGAAAGGAATAGCGGTTGAGATGCAACCCAAATTATGAAATTAATATTAGAGAAAATATTTAATGCGCCGTCGTTGTATAGGTGCAATACAATAACTATAAACCAAAAGCGCCATCTCATTAAATTGAAAAGTCAACTTTGATTGAACCCTTTTATGTAAATTATAATAATTTTAATATAGTATACTTATAATTATTTTCTTTTATTAAAAATAATACTTATTATTATAATCAATTTAAACTAAATAATAGTGAAAGCTATAAGTATTATCCTCATATAGAAGGAATAATATGTACCATTATGTGCTCAATAAAGAGTTGATAATGGATTTATTTATTATTATTATCTCAGTCAATATTGATGGTGTGAACATCAATGAAATATATAAAGAGCATGATGATGTCAGTTCATGTTTAAAAATTGAGATTTTTGAAATAAAAAGCTTGTGTAAGCTATAAGTATTATCTCCCCTTGAAGATCGAGTTTTTCCTTGAAATTTTTTTTTATATACACCAGTTAGCCAATACTTGATTTTGATTAGATACTTATACAAATCAATATATAATGGGCTACTTGGGTACTGGCTATTATTTTTGTATCCCCATAATGCCAAGTCCCAAAAACTGGTTGTACTATATTTACCCCCAATGTCCCAAATGAGGATAATAACACTGAGTTGCACAAATAATATATGAGTATGTTAAAAGAATATTTGACAAAGCATATAAAGCGTCACAATTCAACCAATACGGGCTCCAGAAGAGTCTCAAAATTATTGTGCAAGATATTCACTCTAGTGACAATCTAGAAGATTTGACTAATCCATTTATACAATTTTGGATATATATTTTATCATGTAGAACTTGAAGATTGTTATCTTCAGGGGGAGACGTGAAGTACATTTACTCGAATCAATCCGGAAGATTTGACGTAAAATCCTGAAGATTAAGTCATAAAAGACTAACAGTTACGCACTATTTGCAACACATAAATACATAAATATCATGTGTTCTTTTCTTCACTAGTTTTTCTCCCATTGGGTTTTCTAGTGTGGTTTTTAACAAGGCATGAGTATGATATAGTAATAACAATGATGAAAAGTTGCAAAATAATTGCTTAATTAGACAAACTCCAAAATCCCGAAGATTATGCAGATTGTGCCCTGAAGGCTTATGGTTGTACTCTTTTTCCCTTAACTAAGTTTTTCCCACAGAGTTTTCTTAAGTTAAAGGTTTTTAATGAGGTGACCAATACAATATATGTTTTTACATATATCATGTACTCTTTTCTTCAACTAGGATTTTTCCCATGTGGTTTTCCTAGTGAAGTTTTTAATGAGGCATGAATATATTTTCTATTGTACTCTTTTCTTGTCTAGTTTTTTCCCACAAGGTTTTCCTAGCAAGTTTTTGACGAGACAGATTGTTGTCAAATAATGTCCAAGGGGAGTGTTATAAATATTATACTTATTATGGACATTATTATATAGTATTGTAACGTTTGTAAGGATTATGTAATTATTTCCATTATTGCTTCCGTTACGTTACCTTGTATATATATTCTTACAACTGATGAATGAAGAAGCAATCATCTTTTCTCCCTCATCTCACTATTCACTATTCTGAATATTTCATTTTAACAACATACATGATACTGCTAATTCTACGTAGCAATAATTAAATAAACCCGAGACCAATTAAAGCAAGTAAATATCTTTATTGATCACGGTAAAGGCCCTAAGTACAATCTACTTGGTTGCTCTGAGTGCCGACTGACTGCGGTTGGGATTCTCTAATAACAACCTATCGATCGTCCAAAAGTCCCCTACACTGTAGCTACTGTGGGTATTTATAGCCGCTGCGCCGAAGACACAAATCCGGTCGTCCAGCATGCTCTCCACGTAGCCAACACGTGTCATCCTCCCGGGTGCCCTGTCTGTCGTCGTAAAGAGCCGCCACGTGTACTTTGTCAGCTCTCTCGCCAAAGGGCTACCGCTTGGTGGTTGACATAGCCGCTCGGGTAACTCCCGGTCGGACCCCGACCGGGTTCTTCACATGAAACCCGACCTGTTACCTGCAAAGACAAAGAGAAAAGGACGAAGGCACCTCGGTCGGGGTAAAGCTATGTCGGTCGGAATATTCCCTACCAAGAGCCCCCCAGCCCGGGCCTTTTTTACTGTCCGGGAAAAAACGGGACGGGATGAAGAAGCCCAACCGTCGGCCATCAAACCGACCAGCCAGCTGTCATTCCTCCCCTCGCCACCTGTCGGCCACTGCCGGCCTCTGCGACTGCAACGGTCGCCTCGGAATCAGCGCGGGTCGTGTCATGCAAGTGGACTCGTTTTCCGCCTAAATGCTCTCCTATAAATACGCCCTTGAGGCCTTCATTTGAACTTTCCTCAATCCATTGAAGCGATCGGTACCCTCAAAGAGTCCCGAGCAGCAGTTCAGCGAACCAGTCGAGCAAACCAGGCTTCAAGCTTTTCCCAAAGTACCTCCAATCGGTAAGCTCTCTACTCCTTATCTTTTGCTTTATTTTTAGCTTTGCGTAGGAGTAGGGTAGAACTAACTCCGATCTAACTTCCCGAACCCTGTACTAACCCCGACCGACCTTTAGGTAGAAAAACATGTCGGATTCGGATAGCCAGAATGTCTCGGTCGCAGACTACGACCACGGATTTGAGCAGATCAGCGAAGAGGAGATAGAAATTATGTCTTATTCTCCTGAGGTCGTTCAACGACCGGGGAAGGCTCCCGAGCGAGCCCCCGTGCAGCAGGAATCCTCGAGCACAAGCGACTCTTCAGGATCGGGCTCGAGCGATTCAGGAAGCTCGGGCCGTGATAGCGAGGAGACCTCCACAAGTGGGCGAGTTCTCCGGTCCGAGGGTAAACGGAAGAAGCAAGGTCTAACCCTAACTAACTCTCCCGATCCTAACTTCCCGAACAACGAACTTATTCCCGAGCTAACGAACTTGTTCTGTTTTGCAGATATGGCGCCGAAACGCTTCAACAGCACAGCTCCAAAATCTCCTCCCCGAACGAAGATAACTCTGGGGAGAAAGAAGGCGACCGCTGGGTCTTCGGGAGGGGACTCCATCCCGGTTGCCCGACCCTTAGGCTCCGCCCTGGTCATCACCGACGAGGGCGGGGTCCTGGATACCTCGGACACATTGGTCACCCGAGTGACCAGCAAGTCGAAGGGGCAAGCGGTGGAGAAAGCGGTCGAGGAAGCGACCGGGAGCAAGAGGCAGAGAACAGAGAAGAGCCCGACCCCGGCGGTCGGGTCTGTCATGGCTGATGCCTCCATACTATCTCGGATCGGCAATCTGACGTCGGTCGAGATAGACTTGACCAAACTAAGCCCGACCCAACTGGCTGAACGGCTCGGTCGTGAGCTGGCCGAGGTAAGAACTCTTCTTTCTTTCACTTTTGTATAATGGACCCTCAACCGGGCTAACATGCTTAACTCTGCAGGCATCGCGAGTCGGGGCAGCCCTTCACGGCCAAGCG